CTATTTGACACTTGTGCCTAAAATTTTTGTTATTTAATAATTATTATGTGTGAAGTCCTATGATAAAATTATGAACATAAATATATTTACAATTAAAATAATATTTAAGATGGGTGATTACTACAAATCTTAAACTATATTAAAAATTTAATACATTGTATTTAATATTATAAATTTTTAAGAACTTAGTAAACTACAATAGTAATTGAATTACAATTTTAGAGTCACCACGGATCAAAATTTTTAGACCTTTGAGATTTCTAACTCTAGATGTAGCAACATACAATTGACCTTTAAAGACCAAAATCACAATCTTAGTTAGAACATTGATTTTTTTTTTCTTTCAAATACTATCGAATTAAGTGTGTAATCAATAAAAGATGAGAACTAATAATTCGAGAATATAATCTTAATGTTCTTCTTAAAGTCATACATTTAATTTTCACATCTTAAAATAATTTTCACATCTTAAAGCCCATTTAATTTTCACAAGACTTTCACATCTTAAAGCCATATGGTATTGTGAAAATTAAATGCAAACATTCAATTTTCACAAGACCATATAGCTTTATTATATATAGGATTGGTATTATTATTAGTTTTATTATTATTATTATTATTATTATTATTATTATTATTATTGTTGTTGTTGTTGTTGTTGTTGTTGTTGTTGTTGTTGTTGTTACTCAGTAAATACCATGTAGCATACAGGTGTGCTTGTGCTAATGCGCAGTTAAAAGAGATATATAAGGGGTTGCTTTCGTGCATTTAATTTACCCATGCTGTATTTTTCAATTTCATTAATTACCACAAAGGCAGACACTCAATAGTCAATATATTGAAGACCTAGCTACAGAGTACCACCTATTACGGAGTATATTAATCATCTACTCCTAGTAAGGCTCACTAGCTAGTATAAATAAATCCTCATATCACCTAATGGGTAGGGTTGGGTTTACACCCTTGGTTCCTACTAACTAAAATATGATTCAATTCATTATTATACTTGGTACTTTAAAATGATACTATATAAAATTATGGTAGTGTGAGGTGCCTCAATTTTTGGTTCGAATTTTTTTTTTTTTTTTTCTGGTTCAGTTTGGTTTTGATTTTGAAAAAAAAAAAAAAACTTGAAATAATTTAGTTTCAAATTTTAGTTCGATTTGAATTTGTTTGGTTTCAGCTCAAGTTAGGTCCGGTTTGGATTTCGATTCAGTTTGAGAACTCCAAACATTTCCTCACATATTTTAATATATATTTTTAAAAAATCATTCAATTTTTCGATTCGATTCAATTTTTAACTGAACCGAACTGAAACCATTGAGTTTATAGAATCTATCAATTTTAAAATGAAACTCACCCCTACTTAATGGTAAAATACTAAAAATTGATACCAAATGTAGTATACATTAAATCCCAATTGTGTTGGTTGATACCAAAAAATCTTTGAACATCTTCAATTCGTCATGTTGTGATTTATTCTCAAAAGATTAAAAAAATAAAAAGAAAAAAATAAGTGATTAGTTATAATTTATGTGCTTTCAAAATAAAAGTTAAAATTTATGTTAAATATTTGATATTTTTGTTAGTAAATACCACTAGACTTGGCATTTCACATGCATGGTTTGATGAGCAATATTTGATCTTAATTTTTATTTTATTTTTTGGATAATGAGGTATATTAAATCCATATTAGTCATTATTTGAAGGTGTGCACTAGGAAAAAATTTCGCTCTTGTAATAGCCTACAAATCACATAAGAAAGGTAAATCACACTAGAAATACCATGTGCGACGAACTCGAGCGAGAGGATATTAGTTAGAATCGAATTGGTAAACCTTTTTGGTACGAGAATCATACTACTCCTACTGGACATCCATTTTTGTACTTATTATATATATATATATATATATATATATATATATATATATATATATATATATATGAAACTTCACAACAAATAAATAAAATAGCTAGTTGTCAAGCATCTTATGCTTAGATGGTAAGTAATGACCTCTTTCATGTGGGAGGTCATGAGATCAAGACTCTTTTATACTTCATTAGGTTGAAAAAGTATATTGAACAGATACTAAACAGAAACATTCAAAAAAAAAAAAAAAAGTTAGTTTCAATCATTGTCATTATAGTATTCACTATACTCCTATTTTGTTTAAATTCTTTTTTTCCCCTTTGGGTTGGACAAGAATTATGGAATATATATGTCAATTATAAATTAATAATCATCAATTTTTTTTGAACAAAATAAATTCATCAGTTTTGTTCAAAAAAAATCATCATTTAATATCTTGTTACTTTAAAATGATATATTGTATTCAACTTAATAGTGAAATTGATACCAAATTAAATTTATTATTTGAGTTGTTGTTGTTTTTTAAATGTTTGAAATGTTAAATGGTAATTTATTCTATCTTATAAATTTAAAATTCGTCATTCAATTCATATTCAATCGTCAAATTTGTTATTAGTGAATTAGGTTGGATCAGCTTCACTAATAAATAAAAATTTAAAAAGAAATTTTTCTAATCCATGCTTAATAAATTATATAAGAATGCGCCCTGAATATGTTTCCCCTTAACAATAACCAAATTAAATGATTGATAGTACACTTAATTCATCCATTCGTCCGATGTATATGGCGCTACTCCCTACATGGGAAACTTGTTTGGTAGCTTTATATTTATGAGCATTTAATATATCCACTTTTTTTCGTTGCTTCAATATATCCTCATATATCCATGCAATTAGGAATGACAATAAAACCAGTTCATTCAATTTTGAGATGTCAAATTTATTAGTTCGGACTTATTTAAAATTATTTAGTGAATTTAAAATACTTAAACTCTAATTTTACAATCTCGAGTTATTGGACGAGTGAACTCAACTTTGACATTTTAAAATTATTATGAATAAACTTTCAATTTTAATAAACTAATACACTTGCACTAATAAATATAGGTTTATATCATTCAATAAATCAATCAAAATCTCTATTTCCAAATTCAACCAAAATATAATTAATTTTTTCACACTATAATATAATAATTTTAGTAATTTTGTTATTTTTAAAAAATTATTTTATTTTGAAATAAATTTATTAAGGCTTGAACCCACCCCTTCTATATGGAAGTGTAACCCGAGTGCCATTAGATCACAAGGTCTTGACAATTTATTATACTTTTATGTACAAATTTTATTTAAAATATTAAATCGAGTTAATTCTAATTTTGGTCCTAGATTTATAGATAACAGTCCACTTTTAGTTTTTTTTTTTTTTTTTTTTTTTTTTTTTTTTTTATTAGAACGTCCACATTTAATCCTAGTATTATTGTGGCATGACAATTTTGTGTCCTCTATCAACAAAACAGTTTTAATGACATTAAATATAAAGCTATTTCGGTCTTCATTTACAAATTTTTTCAAAAAAAAAAAACATAAAAATATAACGATGTCAACTCACTTTGTATAAAAATGATTGAAAGTTGTATTTATCAACCGTTCAACTATAAATCTATGACAAAAAATTGAATTAACTCATTAAATGTCTCCTTACATATAAACTCCTAGTATATTTTGTTTCACATTAAGTATATGATACAAAAAATAGATGCTTTAAGTGGTTCGGGTTATTGGACTACCTCATTCGGAACATCACGCTGATTTTTTGTTGAGATAATTTTTTTTTTACCCCTAACCTTAAAGGTTTTTGTTTTATAAGGTCATCAATTCATAAATTTTAGGTTATGATGATGATTAACTACCCTACATGAAAATTCATTCAATAATTCCGAGTTAATTGTATATATCTATTTAGTTTTTAGGTGCAAATATACACATAAATCTATCTCTAACATTCTCGTACATCCTTGGCTGGCTCCCACCCATCTATCTATATATATATATATGGCCTTCTCTTCATTCTTCAGATCTCTTCAACATACAATCGGCCTCTTTCTTCTACCTCTGCTCTCTTGATTTCAACTTATAGTAACATGGATTCCACTGCTATGTTCGTGTTCACTACTTGCTGCATAGCAGCAATTCTGGGTAATGGCTCTTTGGCTTTAGCCGGAGAAGGATGCTTTAAAACCCCGGTGATCTTTAACTTTGGGGATTCAAATTCTGACACCGGTGGTTATGCCGCCGCCCACGGCGAGCTTTATAAATCCCCGGTCGGCCGTGTATTTTTCGGCGATTTCTTTTCCAACCGTTGGTGCGACGGACGTTTGATCATCGATTTCCTTTGTAAGCTCGCAACTCACATTTCCCTTTATTTTATTTTAGTTTATTATCCAAATAATAATTAATGCTTTCTTTATTATATACACTTTACGGTAATATTTCTTTCTTTATTATATACACTCTTATAAGATAGATAAATTTTAATTTATAATGCGATAGAATTAACGATTTTTGATTAAAATGGGTAGGTTTCGAGAGCCCATTGATGGCATGTTGTGGGGGTGGTGGCGCACTCTACAATGCCAAAATATGGTGTGGGCAAGGGACCGTGTGCGATAAAGGGAAGAGATATACCAACTGGGATGGAGTGCACTACACAGACAACGCAAATGCTGTTGTTGCTGCACAAATTGCTTCCACTAACTACTCAACTCCCCCACTCAAGTTTAATTACTTTTGCTCCTAATTACTTTTGTTATGTTTTAATTTATCAAGTCTCTTTTAATTTGTGTAATTTTATGTGTTTTATGTTATATATCTACTGAATGTTATATATTTTCAACCGTGCTTTTCACATTATGCGGTGCACGTTTCATAGTTCAATAATTATATATGTCTCTTGACTCTCTGGTAAAGCTTGAGGATGTCGATTTTAAATATTAAATATGTTATTTTATTAAAATAAATTTCAAAAAAAATTATTGTCAATTTGTGTAATATAAACACTACAGCCGTAACATGAAACTATAGGTTGGAGTTCAACCTAGTCTCCTAGATCAGTAAATTTAATAAATTGAAATTAAGAATAAAAATTGCTCATCAAAATCAAAGGATGGGGCATAATATAATTCAAAATTAATTTATAATTATGTTAGCCAATAATACTTACTAAATTGTTAAATATCATGTTTAATCGATTAATTGCTTCGATTTTTGTTTTTGGTTACTCCAATAAACGACACAATGAAATAATGAATGTGACCTATTTGGCCTGGGCAACTATGCATGTACGGATGTACCCATTCCATTCGACCTTGCCTGCTAGCTTTTCTATACAGAAACCATTTATTATTTAGTTTAATTTTAAATATTATTTCTTGGTTAACCACGCACTTTTATTTTCAAGACATAAATTTTCATTAGATTGATCTTAAAATATGGCATTATAGGTCTTTCATAGGCCATACTTGATAATGCAAAAATCAACTTCTCATGAATGTAGGAATAAAATAAAAGCTCTCATATATGAAGACAAATCTCTATCTCTAATAAAATCCAAGTGTTGTTCAGAAATAATTTGTTATAGGACAAGATTTCTACGTCTATCAAGTATCAAATGACAATATAATGTTAAGATATCATTTCACCGGAGATCGATAGTTCTTATAATGATAAGAATTGATGTAAAGTTGAGTTAAGCACGATAAAATTATAATTTTACGTCAATTTTTAATTGGTTGGGTTGATTCTATTAAGCAAATAGCAAATAAGACAAGTAAAATAAAATAAAATTAAAAGTCGGAATTTGTGTACTAAAATATATTATTTGTGTACGTAAAGTACATTATTTGAATACTAAAAATCCAATTTTTTTTTTATATATTATTAAATAATACACACTCAATACATAAATAATGTAATTTTGATATATTAAAAATGTAACTAATATTATTTATAACCCACACCCAGACACCCACACAATTATTAGAGAATTGTCCACAGAAAAATTTTGCCTTACCTTGTTGTGGTCCTTGGACCTATACACGCATTGCTAGTAGTTGTGCTTTATTTAGGGATACCTATTGGTAAAATCGTACCAACAAACATCAATTTAAACATCAATTCTTCAAAAAAAATAATAATAGATAAATAAATAAAGATCAGAATCAATTCAATTCTACTAGGCATCTAGCCCATCAACATCAAGAACATGGGCATTACTAATTCTCACCCACCTAAGACCAAGGAAACAGATGAATTATACTTTTGTTTTGAATGCTACTAACTTTATTACATTATAATATCTGCTGTTTAAATATATTTTCTCAATCTAATGAAATACGAGTCAACAACGCTTCTACTGAAACTCGATTTCCTGTCCTCCCACATGAGAGAGGTCAGTACATATTATTTGAACACAAAGGTGCTTGGTAGATGAATTATACTTAATTATATTTTTTTTTAAAAAAAGGTATGCGATTAAGAAATCAAGAAACGAGATCAATTTTTTTTTTTTTTTTTTTTTTTTTTTTGAATGCGAGATCAATTTATTTAATTATTCTATGTGAAGTACAACAACATCCGCAATTTATATCGTGGACCAGTTCAATGTACACATAATACTATCGACCATGGTCCAAAATTCATACTCGTTTAGAAGATGAGATGATATTAGATGATAACACATTAGCATTGATTACGATTCATGCACTAAAAAAAATAAAATTAGAAGATTACAGTTATTTAGTTTAGTTTAAATACTATTTTCCTTATTAAGATGCGAACTGTTATTTTTTTAATATATTGCTCAATCTGTTGAGATTAACTAGAACAAGAAACAAATAATAATGGCAGAAAAGGTAAAGAAGACCAGATTTACGTGGTTCGGCAATGTGCCTTCATCCACACGCGAGTAAAACAATACTCTTATTCATAGTGACGATGATAGTGGTAACAGGACCCCTTAGGATACAACCAATATATTTATAGGCATGTAATCCCGGTACAATAAATCTACCCGTTTCACTCATCGACAAACTCAACAATATCCACCTTGACGCATATGCTCTTTAGGAGAAAAAATAACTCAACGTACTTTATCAACCTAATGAAGCACATAGAGTCAACAACCCTCCACTAAAGTTCAATCTCATGATCTCTCAGATGGAAGATGTTACTATATGTCATCTGAGCACACAGGATGCTTGTACACTCTAGCATTAATTTAAACAAATACAATATACCATCAAAATTGACGTTATGTATTCTCCGTTGACAATTGACATGTTGAGAAATTGATTTTGTCGGTTTCTCAAACTTACACTGCACTAACGTACAAATCCTATAATTAATAAAGAGATACTATGTACTGAGGAGGCATTATGCATGTTGTAGGGTTGTAGGCATAGACAATATGAGGTAGTGCATGTATAGGAAATTTATATATTGTCTTTATGTATATATTGGTGGGAAATGGGAATGATGCATTGAATTGAAGTTGGTATATATATATATAATTAATAAAATAAAATGTGAAATTGACTATTAAGTGGCTGGAACAAGATTGTAACATTTGTAAGCTGCGCCTTCTCTTCCCTATTAAGTGATCTGACATAAGAATATATATGAGTTTGGGTATGTAGAAGAGATAAATAAAGTATTATTATTATGAAAAATATTTAAATAAGTACAATTATATTATATAGAATTATTTATTGGAGAACCAGAGAGTCGTGATTGTGCTCCACCTTCAAGGCTGAAACAATGGGTTATGATTAACACACATATATATACAAAGGCAAATCCTAACGCCCTATATATCTTCTTTCAGATATTTCGGATGGATTGGGTGTAAGTATATACACCCCTACCCGAAATAAATAATTAAACTGAGAACAAAGACAAATTCGGTCGATTTCAGACATTCGGATCGGAGCTCCTTTAAACGGTTCTCGAGTCGGACATAAATTTCGGGTGGGTCGGGTCTTGCATAGGCCTACCTGCAGGGAGAAATTCTGTGCATCTGCTTGGACTTCTAGGCTATTTTGCACCAGCAAAATCTTTGAATTAGCATTTGTGGTCTTTATCAAAGTTGTAGCCCTTCAAGTTAGATTTCCAATGATAGAAAAATCACTTGATTTGGAAATTTCGACGCAATGATATGACCAAAATACTGAGCAGTGGTCGATTTGTGCAAGAATTTAACCTTCTTACTCTTTTGTTCCACTTTTGTCTTTGTTTGTCCAAATGACCAAGACAACTAAACACACCACAATTTTGCTCTCTAAGAGGTGTTGCCCCCATCTTCATAGCTTCTCATTAGCTCCCATTGACTCTACATGCATCCGGAATGTCCTAAAAATCATTCAATTCATCTAAACCATCAAGAATTATATTACACACAAATGAATCAAATGAAAGACACTTTGGGCAAAATTATAACAAATAGGGGAAATCACACTTTTGGTCCCCCAATTAGTGCCCCATATGCAATGTGATCCTTACTTTCCAATTTGGACAGAATTGGTCCTCAATTATTCCACCGTTAGTCAATTTAGTCCTTCTGTGAGTTAATCCGTTTAACACCGTTCACAGGAGGACTAAATTGACTAACGGTGGAATAATTGAAGGACCAATTCTGTTGAAATTGGAAAGTGATGATCACATTGCATATGGGGCGCTAATTGAGGGACCAAAAGTGCAATTTTCCCTAAATAAAATTTACATTAGTTATATATATAATTTGGGGAAATTGCACTTTTGACGAATTAGGTTGATTAGCTCCACTAATAAATACAAAAAGATCAAAATTTTCTAATCCACCTTTAATAAATTATATAAGAATTCACTCTAAATATGTTTGTCCTTAATAATATATAACCAAATTAAATGATTAATTGACATATATTCCATAATTCTTGTCCAATCGAAAGGAAAAAAAAATTTAAACAAAATAGGACTATAATGAATCCTATAATGACAATGATTAAAATTAGCTATTTTATTAATTTGTTGTGAACTTTCATATCTCTCTCTCACACATACACATATATTATTTTTAATGTCAAATGACTCAACAAATATATTGTAATCACTCATACCAAAATATTGGGACTCAAATTTTTAATTGATGAATTTGGTTATTGGTTTGACAATAATCCCATATCTTTTCTTTCTCACTATTGTAGTCGTAGTCATGCTCAACTAAAACCATGGGATCTATTAAAGCTATTTGATTTTCCACCCAAAAAAAATGATGATTATTAATTTATAATTGACATATATATTCCATAATTCTTGTCCAATCCAAAGGGGAAAAAAGAGAATTTAAACAAAATAGGAGTATAGTGAATAGTATAATGATAATAATTAAAACTAGCTATTTCTCTCTCTCCCTCTCGCTCTCACACACATATTCATTACCAACTCAGAGCTGTCTCAAGCCTCTAAATGAAGCTGCCCAGGAGTTCAATGCCCAACTCCTTAACCTTTCTGCAGATCTGCGAGCTGAGCTAAAGAATGCTACGGTAATGTATGTGTCACAATCAAATATGATCTCATTTTCAACTCTACCATCTGTGATAATTTTTTAATTAATCTCCCCATCTACACATTATTATTGTGTTACGATAATTAAGTAAACTTTTAAAAAATAATTATTTTGGAAGCATGATCTATTGACCTGTTGGAAATCTTCAAATTGAAAAAATTGTTTGAAATTGGTTAGTTTAAGGATCCAATTGTTAATTTTTTAAATTCAGTGACCTAATTAAATAATCGTGTACAGTTCGATGGCCTATTTGCCCTTATTCCTTTTTAGAATATCCACTAACGATGGAAGGAATCACGTCTAAGTGCTCTTCAGAGCTAATAAGATTGGGAGGTTGCTAAATAAGTGTGGTGAGGGTTGGCAAAATATAACAACTACCCCGGTTATTTAGTTAATGAATAGTGTTATTTCATGTAATGAATTATTGGAGATATATCAATTCCAAAAAAAAATTGTCCAATGCATCTGGACCGTTAAACGGATCGAGAAAAATTCATACCATCTCATGATTTACACCAAAAAAAAAAATTCATTCATTTGAAATCCAATATTTCAATTTAGTAATTATATTTGTTCACCGGTGCTTGAAATATCAATCAAACTATATATTATGAATTGATTGAAGTAGTCTATATAGGCAGCTCAGTTAGTCATAGGAGTGAAGTACGCGTTCGGGAACAATGATTCGGGAACAGTGACAATGTGGAAACAAATGTTTAGGAGTTGGGAATTCAACCTTTTGAGAACAATGAATTGAAGTATCCAAAATAAATAAAACTTTAATGATCATGAATCCTTTTCTCATTTGCTTTGAATTAATTTATCCTTTTGTTTTGTTCTTAAAAGTTTTTGAAACAGCATTTATTTTACAGTATGGTGTGGAACTGTGGGTAAAGACTCAGCACCCAAGAAAGAGACTTTATATATGTTATACAATTCAAAGTTTTTCTTAAAAAGGAATTTGTTTGTTTGTTTGTTTGTTTGTTTTTTTTTTTTTTTTTTTTTTTTTTTTTTGAAAGGAGGAATTTGTTTGTTTTGCTCTTAAAAGTTTTTGAAACTGCCATGCATTTATTTTACAGTATGGTGTGAAATTGTGGGTAAAGACTCAGCACCAAAGAAAGAGACTTTATATATGTTATACAATTCAAAATTTTCTTAAAAAGGAATTTGTAATTATATTAGTACAAATCCACTTTTCATTTATTATAATATGAGATAAAGGCTTCTTTAATTTCAAGCTTTTCCATAATATTTTTTCAATTCAAATGGTATACTTTAAAAATTAATTTTCTCATTCACTCATTATTTTTGAACGAACAATATCGATTTCTTTGTCTCACATAGGAAAAATTGAATTTTATCATTTTGATTTGATCCAAGGTGAGGGTCGACTCCACTAATATTTATACCACAAAATAATCAACTAAAATACCATATTTTGCTAAATCTTTCAACAATTTTAGTTTCATTTTTCTTTTGCCTTCTAAAAATATCACTAGTTAGGTACATCTACCATTATTTATCTTCTTCAAGTGATCACTGATGAAGCAAGCTAAAACTCTCACCAACACCATCAATAAAGAAGGCAGTGAAGGTAGCACAGTGAAGGATGTCAAACAGTTATAACGGTCAGGGGCCTTTTTGTCCTTTCCCACTTTTAGTTATAATGGCTTCAAGTCTTCAGTGTATGTTCATATAAAATGAGCTTCCCGCCTAGGCTTTCATCATCACAAAATATCACAGCTCACTTTCCATCTTCTCTCTGTAACCACCATCTTCAGTCAATGAATTTCATCATCCTTTTTGCTTGAATTGAACCATTTCAACATGGTATCAGAGCTGCATCGAAGCTATGCCGCAGCGGTAATGGCTGAAAACGATGCTGGGAGTTCGTCTGGACAGCAAGGAGGAGGTCCACCGATTCAGAGTTCGACGAATCCAGATCTAGCTCAACGCACTGGTGAATCAGAGGATCCGTATTACATACATGTGACTGAGAATCCAAATTTGGTTCTAGTCTCCCCACCTCTCTCAGAAGTTAACTATGCTTCCTAGATTCGCTCGATGAAAATAGCTTTAGAAGTCAAAAATAAGCTAGGTTTTGTGGATGGAAGCATCGTGAAGCCGGCTGAAACTGATCCTAAGTATCCAATTTGGAGGCGATGTAATAATATCGTCTGCTCCTGGTTATATAAGTCCCTGAGTCCTACCATCGCAGAAGTAGTCCTTTATTTGGAAGATGCTGCGGATATTTGGAATGCTCTCAGGAAGAGATACTCCCAGGTTGATCCTCATAGGATCGCTGAGTTGCAGAACGAGATCTATCGTTGTTCTCAAGGTAATCTATCCATAAATGAGTATTTCACTAAAAGTAACAGTTTATGGATGCAATTGAATGCTATGCGGCCTATTCCTGCTTGTGAATGTGTACCAAAAGGTTGCTGTAATCTTGTAAGCAAAATTCGGAAAGAGAAAGAGGAAGATCAGATTATCAGGTTCTTAGAAGGTCTGAATGAGGACTATGAGAACATCAAATCTGGAATCCTGGTTATGGACCCCATGCCAGCTATAGAAAAAGTCTTGAACATGACTTTGAAAATGGAGAGGAAGCTCAAGAGCTCAATTAACACCAAGAGTACTGATCTGGTCCAGGCAAATGCAGTGATGAATAATCAGCAAGAAGCAGAAGAACAGGTCATGGTGGCAGTAACAACTTCAAATAACAAGAAGAAGTTTAGTGGTAGTTCAGGAAGAAATGTGCCTAAGTGCACTTACTGTGGAATGGTGGGACACACAATTGAGAAATGTTATAAGAAACATGGATACCCCCCTGGGTGGGTTCCAGGGTTTAAATCCAAGAATAAATATAATCAGGACAGTCAACAGTCTCACAATGCTTCTGTGAATCAGATTGGGGAAGCAGGGCTGTCTGTTGAGCAGTTTCAAAAACTTCTCACTCTTTTGCAAGGCCAAAACCAGCCTGGACATGCTTCAACTAGTGCAGCTGTGGCAATGAATAGCACTGGTCTCAGATCAGACTTCAAGAATTGGGATGAAGGCAACAAAGGAGGCCATCAAGAGTGCAGAATGGAGGCAGGCCATGGAAGCTGAGATAGAAGCCTTGGTCCACAATAATACATGGACCTTGACAAAATTGCCAGCAGGAAAGATTCCAATTGGTTGCAAATGGGTGTATAAGGTCAAACTTAAAGCTAATGGATCCATAGAAAGATACAAGGCTAAATTGGTGGCCAAGGGATACACTCAACAGCTTGGAGTGGATTATATTGAAACTTTTTCACCTGTAGCAAGGATGACTACAATCAGAACATTTCTGGCAGTAGCTGTTGCTAATAATTGGGCAATTGAGCAGCTAGATATCAATAATGCTTTCCTCCATGGTGATCTAGAAGAGGAGGTTTACATGGTTTTACCACCAGGATTCCAGAACAGCAAGCCAAATCAAGTGTGCAAACTTATGAGATCGTTGTATGGTCTGAAACAAGCTTCTAGGCAATGGAATGCAAAATTAACCAAAGCCTTGCAGAACATGGGTTTCTCTCAGTCCTCAGCAGATCCCTCTTTGTTTACTAAACAAACATGCAGTTCTTTCATGGCCCTATTAATATATGTGGATGATATTCTGGTGGCAGGAACAGACTCCATTCAAATCCAAGCTCTCAAACAGTTACTGGATAATGCTTTTAAGATCAAGGATTTTGGCAATCTGAACTACTTCTTCGGCATTGAAGCCTTTAGAACCCCCAAGGGCATTAACCTATGCCAAAGAAAATATACCCTGGACATCTTGCAAGAATATGGTTTTTTAGAAGCAAAACCTGCACCAACACCTTCTGTCTGTGGGCAAAAACTCAATTCCAGTGAAGGCAACCTCCTTGAGTATCCTGAGGATTATAGAAGGCTGGTTGGTAAGCTCCTCTATCTAACCAACACCAGGCCAGACATAACATATTCAGTTCAGCAGCTGAGTCAATTTGTGGATAAACCAAGGGATAGTCACCTAATGGCAGGTCATATGGTATTGAGATACCTTAAAGGGTCCCCTGGAAAAGGCATTTTTTACTCTTCTAACAACTATCTTAGACTACAGGGTTTCTCTGATTCAGACTGGGCATCTTGCATTGAATCTAGGAAGTCATTGACTGGTTATTGTGTCTATCTTGGAGATTCATTAATCTCATGGAAGACCAAGAAGCAAGTAACTGTTTCCAGATCTTCCTCCGAAGCAGAATACAGGGCTTTGGCATCAACAACTTGTGAGCTACAATGGCTTCTGTATTTACTGGCAGATTTGAGGGTAGAGATAATCAAGCCTGTGGCATTGTTTTGTGATTGCAGTTCTGCTATTGCTATAGGAGAAAATCATGTGTTTCACGAACGTACAAAACACATCGAAATTGACTGCCATGTTGTGAGACAAAAGATTCAAGAAGGAGTCCTTAAACTGTTGAGCATCACTTCTCAAAATCAGACAGCAGATGGATTCACAAAGGCTTTATCAAAACCTTTGTTTGATAGATTTCATGCTAAGCTGGGCTTGCAGGACCTCCATACTCCAGCTTACGGGGGGGGGGGGGGGGGGGGGGGGGGTGATGAAGCAAGCTAAAACTCTCACCAACACCATCAATAAAGAAGGCAGTGAAGGTAGCACCGTGAAGGATGTCAAACAGTTATAACAGCCAGGGGCCTTTTTGTCCTTTCCCACTTTTAGTTATAACGGCTTCAAGTCTTCAGTGTATGTTCATATAAAATGAGCTTCCCGCCTAGGCTTTTCATCATCACAAAATATCACAGCTCACTTTCCATCTTCTCTCTGTAACCACCATCTTCAGTCAATGAATTTCATCATCCTTTTTGCTTGAATTGAACCATTTCAACAATCACTTGAAGATCGAATTAATGGTAGCAGGCTTGTGTATGGGATCTGTATAGAAAAGCTACTAGATCGAAGGGGGTTCGCTAATACTTTATCTATTTTGTTAATAACATATATGTATTCAATTTATGTTTAACATATATATATATATATATATATATATATATATATATATATATATAATAAGTTATTTATTGGTTTTAATTTATTATGTACTGTCTTAAAAAAAAATTATTATGTACTTTTAATAATAAACTTTTACTCACAAACTTATTGGAACAAAACATGTCTTTAAAATGTTTATTAATTAATATTGAGTAAATTTTAATTTTGGTCCACTGACTATTGCACTTGTGTTAATTGTAACACTTAACTTTCAAAAATGTTAATTTAGTACCTTGACTATGCAATTCTTATCAATTTTGGTCAGGCCGGCCAAATATCACCGAAACCTTTTAATTCATTTAATTTTTGTAATTTAGGGACAAATTAGTCATTTCCTTCTGCTTCTTCCTTCCCCACCCTTCTTCTTGGTTCTTCTTCTCCATTCTTAGTTCTTCCCTGGATGTTGGTTGTGTTTAATGTTCAAGGCTTACCTAAAGGCAGCTTAGAGATCAAGAATAACAAAGGGTGACCCATCGGTTTGGTCATTCAGTTTGTCTACCCTTTGTTTTAACATTTGATTGTGAAACCTCGTAATGTTGTTTGTGTTTTGGTCGTAGTTTGGGTAGTTGCCGGTTGAAAAAGCTACCATGGGTAGGCATCCCAAGGGTTGCATTGCTGTCATGGCTACTTTGGGGACTCCCATCTCATGAATGCGTTTAAGGTTCAGACTAAGCTCCTTCGTAACGGAGAAGAAGGAAGAAGAAAGAAATGACTAATTTGTCCATAAATTAAAAAAATTAAAATGAATTAAAAGATTTCGGTGACATTTGGCCGGTAATTTAGTCAGCATGACCAAAATTGATAAGAATTGCATAGTCAAGGTACTAAATTAACATTTTTGAAAGTCAAGTGTTGCAATTAATCCAAATGCAATAGTCAGTGGACCAAAATTGAAATTTACTCATTAATATTTAATAGGACACATTAAGTTAATGACGATGATATAGGGATATGGTGCATATATTTATGAGGGAGTGGAAATGCAGATGGATTAATTGAATTGGAATTGGTGTATATAACAGACACCACAATCAGTATATGTAATAAGAATAAATGTGAAGAATAACAGACACCATATGCATTTGAATAATATTTTATGTGCATAATTAGTTAATCTTGATTCCTGAATACACAATTAAATATTACAACTGAATACATAATTAATTATTCGCAAATGCACAATAAGAAATTATTAAATTATTATTATTGTTGTTATTATTATTATTATTATTATTATTATTATTATTATTATTATTATTATTATTATTATTATTATTATTATTATTATTATTATTTAAGATTGACAGATATCCCATAATTCTTGTCCAGCCGCATCGTACCTTTCATGCCCTAAACCATTAGTATCAAACGTTTCAGCATCTGCTTGATTGTCGGCCCACTCAAAGTAGCATTCTCTGGCCATTGTTTTAATAGTGGAACAACACTCCGGAGTGACTTTTGGTGGCGTATAATCGGGGTCAACATGAACAAAAGGCAACAAATCCAAAGAAGGTGGTTCATATAATATTGCTCGCCAGCACTCTGGAGAAGGTGGTTCAAACCTCTCACATCTATCCATATGAGATACCGGTACCTTAAAGTTATCATCACAGTTTTTATTATCAACCGTTGCATATGAAAAGCGTATTGCATTATACGCTATGAACAACCCTAACAAAAAATGTATCTTCAAAGTTATCATTTTTTTTTTACTCCTTTCGTTCTTTTTGTTTGTTTGTTTTTTTGTACGTATGGAATGGTACAACGTTCATTCATCAATGAGAATACCATATGAACTTATAAATAAACATTTTAAGGATGTGTATGATGATTATTTCTGATAATTCTATGAGTTACAATTTGTCATTAAAAAAGGTAATAAATTAAAACCAGTAAATAACATATGTATGTTAGAGATCAATTGAATATATACTTATATGTGGTTTATTATATATATATATATATATATATATATATATATATATATATATATATATATATAAGTTCAAATGCGGCGATGTCCTAAGGTGCGGCGGTAAGGCAGAATTTCAGAATACACCAACAATGTTAACAGTATGCACCAACAATGTAAGGGAAACAACCATAATTAAATGTAAAAAAAACAATAAAAAATACACAACAGACCCAAAAAATACACCGTATAACTCACCACACCCCAGGGACGTAGCCATAAAAATACTTGAGCGGGGGCAAAGTTTAAACGACGGTTAGAAATATCAATTACGAAATATCAAACAGTCATAAGGTTAAAATACAAAATATATTATAAATTACAATAGAATATTTTTGATAGATTAAACGATAGTTAGAGTCGGAGCAAAAAATATACTTGAGTGAGGTGAAAATGTAAAAATATTTATGACAAAATATTAAACATAATCAATTAGATAAAATAATTTGAATAAAATGAAGTATAATATAAACGTGTATACTACGTTACTACATTAATTAAATGATTCATAAAAAGTATTCTAAAAGTGCATTTAATTTGTTAATTAAATGATTCATAAAAGTAGGCTAAAAAATATTTATCTTGGAAAGGAATGAAAGATATAAAATAAATATTAAGTGAAGATAAGGAAAAGTGTTTTTAATGAGATTCGAACCTATAACCATACACTTTTTTAAAAACCAAATTTAAAGTTCAACTAACTATGCTACTCTAACTACTAGTAAATTAAACATAAATATAACTTTTATATAACATTTAATGCTTTGTTGCTTCCCCTGCGGTTGTGACATCACGCGCGCACACACACACATATATATATATACCTTAATTTTCCTATCATTGTTTTATATATGCCTAATGTTAATTTTTTACTTCTGATACATTTAATTAGAAGAGTAATAAGAAGAATCGTTAATCTTCAAAATTTTAATTTGATGAAAGGTTTGTAATTAGAACAATGAAGACTAATAAAGTATGCTTTCGAAAAAAAAAAAGGACTAATAACGTATAAAATATCCTAGCATCGATTATAACTGATAGATGCAAACCACCTCCAAAAAATCGACGCTAAGTCTAGTGCAAAAATTTATGAATGCGAAAATTGGAGTAAACATTATGTATGTTTTAACTCAAGCTAGAATCAAATAGCTTCTAGAGACCCCATGCTTTTATCTGATCATGCCTAGGACGATATTAATGGAGAAAAGATATGGGATTATTGTCAACTCAATAACAAATTCATCAATTCATAATTTGAGTCCCAATATTTTGGTATGAGTGATTAAATTAATTTCTTGAGTAATTTGAAATTAAAACAATATATATATATATATATATATATATATATATATATATATATATATATTAAATGTTACGAGTTTCATCGCTATCCTGCAGCGAGCCATGCATTTCGATCCATCTATGATCTATGAAATCATTTTCAAATATAAAGCTATATCATACATAACATAATTAAAAATCTTTTCAAAGCTTGGTTGCACCATCTACATTATAAAAAGTTTACTTAATTATAATAACACAATAATAGTGTGTAGATGGGGAGATTAATTAAAAAATTATCATATAGGGTAGAGTTAGAAATGAGATCATATTTGATGGTGTACATATCCACATACACCACTGTAGCATTCTTTAGCTCATCTCGCAGATCTACAAAAAGGTTACGGAGTTGGACATTAAACTTCTGGACAGCTTCATTAAGAGGCCTGAGACAGCTCTGAGTTGGTGCTTGTACATGCTCTAAGTTTGAGAACCCCCATGATGAGTGTTGGTTAACATATTTTTGTTTTTTGACTATTCACTCATATGATAATTACGATCTGTTACATGATGATAACTTCCAATTCAATCCGTTACATGGCGATTTAATGTACAATAAATTTGGTATCAATGTTACATTTAAGTTGAATACTGTACGATATATTTTAAAGTGCCCTAGTAATGAATTATAATTTAATTTGTTGTAATTGAGAGTACATGATATGTACGATATATTTTAAAGTATCGTAGTAATGAATTATAATTTAATTTTTTGTAATTGAGAGTACATGATATATGCCCAGCACCTTGTGCTCAGATGGCATGTAGTGACCTCTCTCATGTGAGAGGTTATGAGAGTGAATTTCAGTAGAGGCGTTGTTGACTCTTTGTGTTTCATTAGGTTGAGAAAGTACGTTTGAACAGGTGCTATAATGTAAAAAGAGTACATGATATATAAGGATTTATTTTTATCAAATAATGATACTTACTCTATATATATATAACTGATCTAATATAATAGCCACAGAGGTCGAGGATTGCTTCAGCCACCATGGCCGAGGATCGCCTTGCCCATGGCAGAGGCCGAGGATGGCTTGGCTGCTATTACTAAGGCATGGCCTCAGAAGCCTTGGCCACATTTTTTTTTTTTTTGATATTTTTTGTTGGTGTGTCAGAGCTCACTTTGACCAATCATGGGCTCGGCCAAAGATTGGCTCTTCCATAGGGTAGTTACTAGGTCAAATCTTATATTGGTCCTTAGGGGATAGCGTTTTCCTAACCAAGTCTTGAGCTTGACCAAGAAAATGTCCTTCCATCAGGTAGCTAGTGGGATCAGATCTTGTGCCGACCCTTAGGTAGGGACGGAGCTACGTTATGGGGTAGGGGGGCCCTGGCCCCTCCCCCACCCAGCCCCACCCCACTCCTACTGTCACCCTAAATTTTTTAGTAAATATGTATGTGTATATTGATATAGTAGAGATTAAATACACTTTTGGCCCCCCCTCTAATTTTTTTTTTTTTTTAAATAAAACAATCTATTATGTTTATATTAAATGAACTCAAAATATATATTAAAGTTCACTATTTTTCATTAAATAAAAAGAAATAAATCAAATAATTAAAGTCGCCATTTCAATTTTAATATATGCTTTGGTTTTATTAGTTATGTTGATGTTGATTAATTAATTAGTGATTTATTGTGTGTTTTAATTATTTATTTACATTTTTAAGGTGTACATTTGCTAGTTTAAACTTTAAATGATTAGTTTTGAAATTGACAAAAATTAATATTAATTATTTAATTCGTCTTGGTTTTTGTCTTTTATCTCTCAAATTTTGAAATATTCAGTTAATTAGTAAAATGACTATCAGTTAATTATGAAAGAATTTGGTGACAAAATAATTGACAAAACTCTTTATTTGATGTTAAGTGACAATATACATTTAAATAAATGTTGTTGCTATTGTTATTATTATATTTTGTGTTATGTGAAAAATTGATAACACTGACAATAATAACAACCCCACCTTCCCACCCTTTCGTCTCTAAGCAGAGACAAAGCCTGGACTTCATCGTGTTTCGGAGATGATTCCTGCACTTCGTCTATAGCTAGAGATGATGTGCAATTCGTCTCCAATTATTTGGTGATCTTAATTTTTAAACGTTCAAAACTAACTTACTCACTACTGAGAATTATGAAATTTCTGACTACCTG